ACAGAATAAATACTACAGTAGCTATTAAGGTAACAACATTACAAGGCTAATCTATTCAAGATTAAATAAAGATTGTTATTATAGCAACATTTTCTGTCATATTACAAATATATTTTATTATAGCCATGCATTTAACTAATTAACTTTTGACTTTAAATAATTAATGATATACGTGATTGCACATTTTGTTTAATTTCTAATAATAAATTTACTGGGATGCTTAACTGGACACCATTTAATAATAGATATATTTACTTTGCTACAATAATGCTCAGTTTAAAAATATAAATATAATAATATTTGATAAATGGAGGAATTAAATTATATATTATTAATATAATCTACATTGTTGCTTTATATTATCTAGTCACATAAAATGTATTGACAAATTCAGGTTGATGTTCGTAAAACATCAGTTAGTCATATAAAAATGGGATTAGCAAATCCTACACCAGTATTATGTTTTGAAGTTAAATAATTGTTTTTGTTAGGTAATTAATTAATTAATTAATTAATTAATTATGCAAATAACATGCCAATTGACTGTTTACGGTAACAGATACATGTTTTTTGATGTGATGAATGTGTTTTTTCAGTAGAAGTCAAAGTACAGTAGATGTTGGTGGTCACTGTACAAGTATGAAAAAAGGGTTGCATGTGAGGTAACATTACAGAAAAAGATGTGGAGGTCAAAGTTATGCATAGGTATGGGATTAACTGGAAGTGGCCTGGTATAGAAGACCACATTACATATGACATAGTCCAACATTTAAAAAAAGTGGGGTACCCCAAACTTGTTGATAGCAGGGGACATTATTTCATTTCTGAAGAGAGAGTTGTGTTGCAAAACATATTGTTGTAACCTTAAAAAATATTTAATTAATAGACATCAGATTAGTTTAATGTATATTCAACCTTTTTGCTAAAGAAATTTATGTTGTAAATCTCATTATCCGATGGCACTTTCATCAGGACCGATAATATAAATGATATTCTCATCATCATTATTATGGTGCCCTACACATTTATAAAGTATCAAATTAAAATATTTAAGATCAGTAGTAGGTGATTATGAAAGGTTTTGTATTTTTCCTTAAATACAAATCAGTAATAATTAAATGTTTTTAAGCCGTAATAATAATTTTGCGAAATTTTGATAATATTATTTACAAAAGGTCATAGTTTCAAAGAAATCTACAGATACTATAGAAAAATGTTTTACTATATGTGTTGTAACTCAAAATTTGGATTAAACACTCAATAATGAGTAAAAGAGGTTTTTACAATGTTCTTGTTAGTTGAATATCAAATCAATTCAATTACAGAAAAATATATCTAGTTTTCCTTTTCTTTATCATTGTGTACGTCCGTCACATTCACAAATCAGTAATAATTAAATGTTTTTAAGCCGTAATAATAATTTTGCGAAATTTTGATAATACTATTTACAAAAGGTCATAGTTTCAAAGAAATCTACAGATACTATAGAAAAATGTTTTACTATATGTGCTGTAACTCCAAATTTGGATTGAACACTCAATAATGAGTAAAAGAGGTTTTTACAATGTTCTAGTTAGTTTAATATCAAAGCAATTCAATTACAGAAAAATATATCTAGTTTTCCTTTTCTTTATCATTGTGTACGTCAAAGTACGTCCGTCACATTGTAAATGTACGTCTGTCACATATCGGCCATTTTGACACACAAGATGCGTTGTCCAATTTTAATAATTTCATAAATGAATAGTTTAGTTTTATCTTCTTCATATAAATCGGTGACTTCTTAATTTGGGCTGAGACACTTCAGAGAAATATATTTATTTAAATTTCCACCTCAAAAAATCCCATTTTCCACGAATCCCGAATTAATGAAATTGACCTTGAGTGATCCCAGGAAAGAATTTGTATTGGCTAGCAAGAACAAGCTTTAAATGTTAACACTGTGTACAAAGGGGCGGGGGAGCCGCGGCTCCCACGGCTCCTTCTTCCCCCAGGATACGTCCCTGGCACGGTTACGAAAAAGAATTACAGAAAAATGGTTTGATGAAATTGACAATGGTAACTTAATTGGATTATGCATGCTCGACCTGAAAAAAGCGTTCGACACTGTGGATTATAACATACTCTTTAATAAACTAAAAATGTACGGATGTAGTAAATATTGTATTAGCTGGTTTAAAAGCTATCTAACTGATCGTACTCAAACTACTTGTATTAATGGTATAAAATCAGAAACTTTAAATATTAAGTGTGGAATGCCTCAGGGATCTATTATTGGACCACTTGCTTTTTTAATTTACATCAATGATTTACCAAATTGTATCTCTCATTGTAATATAAGTCTCTATGCTGATGACACTGCCATTTACTATGCCTCTAAATCTGCAAATAATATTGTGCAATGTTTAAATAACGATTTATCAAATATTAACAACTGGCTCGAAAGCAATAAACTTAGTCTCAATGTTAAAAAGTCTGAATTCATGCTAATTGGTTCCAGACAAAGACTAAGTACTGTAAATAATTGTTTATCTGTAAATATCAATGGTATTAATTTAACTAGGGTAGATAAATGTAAATATCTTGGTGTAATTATTGATAAATATTTAAGTTGGAATGATCAAATTGAAAATGTTCGTAAAAAAGCACTAAGTGGTATATATATTGTCTCTTATACACATCTAGATGTGTATAAGAGACAGGTTAAAGGGATTGTCTGGTAATACCCAAGGATGAGGTGATTAAATGTTGGTGACCAACCTGCGTAGGGTGTGCATATGAGTACCGCTCAAAGGAAAACGCCCCAGACCAGATTTAAAAAAAAATAAATTACATGATTGAAACCTTCGTGAAGGGTTTAACCAAGTTACAATGAAGGAATTGTGAAGTGCTGGTGACGATACAAATACGGGGGTGCATGTGAGGGCCATTTGGACCCAGACCTATATCTCTTGATTGGATCAATGGTTAAAAATGAAGCTTTCCATAATAGTTTGTCATATTTTAATAAAGAAGTGTTTAAATTTTAGTCACGGTCCGACGTATGATGTGGATATAAGGACCATTAAAAAAAAGGTTTACCGTATTACCCACTGAAACAATAGGTATATGATGAATTAGTTCAATTACAGTAAATGTGTACAGCGTTCTATATGTACTAACTTCACTTTTTTTGGAACTTACGTAGCTTAAAATAGCTCCAACGTATGTTAGTGTAACTTTTTTTTTAAGTAGATTGTGGTTGGTGGTAGGAATGTAGGAATATATTTTTGAGAACTATTTTATAGAAAGAGATTGGCGAGTTATTGTGTGTTTTTGAATTATTTTATAATATTATTATTATTACAGTGGTGAACAATTCCTTTCCACATTGGATAGGCAAAGCCCCAGCTATGACTCATGTAGGACCAAAAATTATATATATTCAAAATATTTCTTGGGATTGGTATGTAATAAAACATATAACACCCCCCAAAAAATGGCCCAAAATGGGTCAGAAAGCTTTAAGCATCATGGACTCTCACCAGGGGTTTACTCCTAGACACTGCTGGCCTCCACCAGAGATTATCAGATTCTCTGTCAGAGAGTGTAATCCCCTGAATGTATAGAGTCACCTCTGACGATGTACCCAAAGATACCATAAATTGCTAGCATCAGTTTGATCCTCACTCTCCAAATAATATTGTTATACCGTGTTTCGCAAACTTATTTTTTTAAAGATCTTCAGAGGGTGGAAAACAAATAAAAATAAAATTTAGTTTTCTTTAATCAGCAAATAGTTTTGCCAAACTCATCCAGATGGAGGAGAAAATAAAAATATAATTTTATTGGTGAATGTAAACAGTGTAGTAATTGGGATGGTTAAACGCTTTAAATTTATATAATTAGGAAGAAATATACATATCCTATTTTTGGAGATTTCAAGGCAGCGGTGGGCGTAATAAAATTAAAGAT